CATGTGGGATCCGAACTGGGGCCCTACTGCTCAGAGCTGGGTTAAGCCAGCTCTTAACCAATGCGCCACTTGGCCGACCCTTCATTGTCATTTTTAATGTATCAGGAGCCCATCAAGTGGCAGTCTAACTTCTCAATTAGACTCCTTTAAAAATTTTTTTGTTAATTCCAATTTTTTGAGTAGGTATTTAGGTTTCCTTTATAAATTTGAGTAAATGTACAAATAATTTCAGAGTTGTTTTTTGGGTTCTTGGTACCTCAAGCAGATAAATTGTTCTGTAGTAGGAGGGAGGGTAGCATTGATGTAGAGGAATGAAACTGGAAGCAAAGAAGCAAGCATGACAGCATTCTTTTATTTTGTTTCGCCATCTTCCCCTCTTTCTAGTAGTTGGGGCGCATGACAGTGAATTCAGACCAAAGTCTTAGGCTTTACTGTATCTCTTGTTAATGTACTTGACATTATGTCAATGTATTTGTTAATGTTATGTTAACATTATGTTAATATATTATGTCCATTAAGCCACCGGCTACAAGGAAGAGCTTTTCAGCATGCATAAGGTACTAAAGTGCTTTTGCAAGAAAAATTCAGTGTGTCAGTATTTTAAAGAGCCATAAAATAATGGCAGCTGTACATGTACTTTAATTTGTGAGAAGTATTTCTATTTTTTTGTTTGTTTTTCAATTAAGACAAGCTTATCTTTATGTTCTGGTTCTCAGCTGGGAGAACCAGACGAGCCATTACTTTTCTAGTCCAGGCTTGAATTCCCATTCAGTAAAAATGATAGCTTGCAACTTAGAATCTGATACCCCTTCCAAACCTAGGAAGTCTGGTGATCCATTGGGAGTTGTTTCTTGATTTGTGTCTTTAACAATGAGAATGAGGGTATCGGCTTATTTATACCACACACAGACTAAAGTGGGCCTTTCATTTAGGAGAAGCTCAACAGAAAACAGGAGAAAGGGTTCCCACGTAGGAAACGCAGATTTGTTTTCAGAGGTCACCTACATTAAGGTAGGCTTGGCAAATGTCTCATCATGTGTTTGTTTGGCTGGAGTGACTGCTGAGTACTATACCAAGAAATTCTGAGTTCCATGATTGGTTATGAATGGTGCCTTCTTTGCGTGTGGGTAACATCAAAGGGTTGAGAGTGATTAAGAACAATGATATCCTCAGTCTGTACTTCAGGATCTGTCATGCAAAAAGGTAGGAAGATGTTGGGCTTCCATTTGGCGAGCCCCACATTTATCTAATTTATATATTGGATTTTTTTTGTTGCGATAGAACGCACATAACATAAAATTGACCATTTTAAGTGTGTAGTTCAGTGGCATTAAGGACATTCACATTGTTTTGCAACCATCACCACTGTCTATTTCTAGAACTTTTTCATCATCTCAAACTGAAACTCTATACCCATTTAACAATTATTCCTCGTTTCCCTCTTCCCCAGCCCCTAGTAACCATCATTCTACTTTCTGTCTCTATGAATTTGACGATTCTAGGTACCTCATACAAGAGTCACATAACATTTGTCCTTTTGTGTCTGGCTTATTTCACTTACCATAATGTTTTCAAGGTTCATCCATATTGTAGCATGTATCAGAATTTCTTTTTTAAGGCTGAATAATATTCTGTTATATGTATATACTAAATGTTTACCCACTTATCTGTCAAATGAATACTTGGGTTGTTCCCATGTTGTTTGGCTTTTGTGAGTAATGCTGCTATGAACATGGGTGTACAAATATTTGTTTGAGTCCTTGCTTTTAATTTTTTGCAGTATATACCCCAAAGTGGAATTGTTGGATCATATGGTAATTCCATTTTTAATTTTCTGAGCAACTGCTGTATTGTCTTCTGTAGCTGCTGCACCATTGAATATTCCCACCAGCAATGCGCAAGAGCTCTAATTTCTCTCTACCCTTTTCAACACTTAATTAGTTTTGTTCTGTTTTTAATTTAAAAAATAATAATAGCCATTCTAGTGGGTGTGAAGTGGTATCTTGTAGTTTTGATTTGCCTTCCTCTAATGATTAGTGATGTTGAACATCTTTTCATTTTCTTTTTTTTTTTTTCCTAAAGATTTTTATTGGGGGATTGGGGGATGGGAACAGCGCTGGGGAATTGGGGGAAGGGGAACAGAGAAGTTGTTGTCATTTTTGTTCTTCAGTCTAGTTGTGGAGGATGTTGCTTCACTGGCCCAAGTTGGCACCATCATTGCACTCTTCCCAGGCGAGGCAGATNTTTTTTTTTTTTAAGTGATGGCTGAGATACAAGTGTTCTTTATGTTACTGTTGATGTTATTATTTACAAAGGTTATTTTAGTAGACTTGCACATTCAGTATGGCACAGTATGTCAGCAACATACTCAGTATTGTGAATAGTCTGAATTTATTACTCCAGTGTCTCATTTATAGCTTATCCTTACATTTAAAATTACCAGAATTTCTTAAGGGTTCCGAACTGTTGTGCTTGATTGCCAATAATGTGGCACTTTCCTAAGATGATATATACTTTTAAACTATTCCATTAATCCAACAGATGCTTACTGAGGGCCTACTAAATACCAGGGATGTAACAGGTGCTGGGGCTATATCAGTAAACAAACAAGATCCATGACCTTTGAAAGCTTGCATTCTAGTGAGGGTGGAGGAGATAAACAAAATTAATAAAAGTTGTATAGAGTGCTGGAGGAATTAAAACGGAATAAAATAGGGAGTGTGTAAGAGTAATAAAAGTAATAAAGAGTAAGGGGATAAAATAGGGAGTAAGTGTGGCGGTTATTATTTAAATCAGGGTGACATTTGAATAATTGAATTAGATGAGGAACTGAGTCATGGGTTACAGCAAGCACAGAGGGCCCTGAAGTTGGGACAGACTCCAGTGTTGGAGGAAGATGAGGGAGAGCAGTTAGCTGAAGCCAAGTGAATGAGGTAGCAAGTAGAAGATTGAACTATGCTGGTTAATTCTGATGAACTTTTAGTCCATCATACGAGCTATTACTCTGAATGAGAACTTGAAGTCATTTGAGTAGTGACATGATCCTAGTTCACATTTTTACAAGGTAACTCTGTCTGCTGGGTTGAGAATAGACACAATAAGAAAGAGTACATAGTACACAGTACACCAGAATACTCATTTAAGTAAACATTTATAACAAATGAAAGCTTCAACAATATGATGTCCACTTTATTTTTTCCTTTTTATTATGAGAAAGAAATGTTGCTTGTGTCCCGCTAGATCTATTTCATGACTGCACAACTTAGAGTTGAAAAACAGTTCTAAAAGAGATACGGCCTCTGCCTTAGTGGGAAGGAAGTGAAGCCTAGGGTGTTGTGTATTAAAGGAAAATGAACAAAGCACAAAATTAAAAGGAATAAAAACTGAAAATTAATATTATACACACACTTAGCTTTAAAAAATCAAGTAATCGAGCCATCAGTTAATAGCCCCACTCCCCAGAAGCAACTAACTTTTAAAAAAAACCTTTTCGGTTCAGTTTTCCTGGGGCTTAACTCCATGTTTCTAAATAATATGCTTAATAGTGTGTATTTTTTGGTTTATCAACTGTAGACATTCTCTGTTGACTTCTTGCTATGACAGATGTTTTCAGTCCCACTTCTCACTACTGACCTTCCTCGCACGACGGTCACTGAACTGGCGCCTCTCTGGGGTTCTGCCCAGAAGATTAGCCTTCCTCCTTCGCTGCAGCCCCCTCTGTGAGTATTCTGCTCTTCTGCTTCCGCCACTCCACTTACTCAGTTCACATTCTTCCATCTGTTTTTCATGTGTCAGAACCGTGAGTGATCTACCTAGTCTTTTTAAAAAATATTTTTCATTAAAAAGTTATTTTAAAATCTCTTTAGAAAAATTTATTTAAGTTATTACGGAGAGAAGATAAACACAGATGCTCATACTAGCACCTTGAACTGGAAGACAGATTAGAGTTTAAGGCCAAAGTTTTTTGTTTTGTTTTTTAAAATATGTGTAATGTGTATTTTTTAAGAATTAGATACATTTACAATCTTGTATGTTTAAAAAGCAAATTGTAAATATTTTCCCATGTCATTAATACTCTTTCAAAGTTTTTAAAATAGATGTATAGCATTCTTTCATATGCTGGTATCATAATGTTCTCCAGATTTTGACTTAGGTTGTATTTTGAATTATAAATAATTGTAAATTATTTAAATTATAGCTAATGATTCTGTGGATTTTTCTTATGAAGAAGATTTACACATAATCTTTGATTATTTCTCTTAGGTTAAATATCTAGGGGTGGTCATTGCTGAATCAAAGAAGATAAACATTTTTGAGGTTCTTTTTTCCCCCATAAGTTTTATTGAGATGTAATTGACATACAGCACTATATAAATTTAAAGTGTACAGCATAATGACTTCACTTATATATACTGCAAAATGATTATCATAATTAGATTAGTTAACATCCATCACCTTACATAGTTACAAAAAATAAATAAAAATAAAAAATTACTTTTTCCCTTGTGATAAGAACTTTCAGGATTTACTTTCTTAGCAACTTTCAAGTATACCACATCGATATGTTAACTATGGTCATCATGTTGCATCTTCCATCCCCAGTCCGTATTAAGTTTGTACCCTTTTTTTTTTTTAAGATTTTATTGGGGAATTGGGGGAGGGGAACAGCGTTGGGAAATCGGGGAAGGAGAACAGACAAGTTGCTGTTCTTTTGTACTTCAGTCTAGTTGTGGAGGACGTTGCTTCACTGGCCCATGTTGGTATTATCATTGCGCTACTCCCTGGTGAGGCAGTCGCTTGCCGGCCATTGGACAGTCGCTCACAGCGGCTCATGGCAGCTCTCGAAAGTGCATGCCAGCTGCTGGCCAGCTCCACTGCAGCCTGTGCCATCGCCAGTGACTCACGGCAGCCTAGCTCCAGGTCAAGCTGTTATTCACCATCTTAGCTGTAGAGGGCAGTGTCACTGGCTCTCATGTGGGATCCGAACTGGGGCCCTGCTGCTCAGAGCTGATGTCCCAAGCCAGCTTTTAACCAATGCACCACTCAGCTGGCCGAAGTTTGTACCCTTTTGAGGTTCTTAATAAATATCACCAGTTGACTCTAAGAAGGTTGTGCCAATTCATGTTTCCACTATCACTGTATTAAAATGCCACTTTTTACTATGTTCTTAATACTGTTAGGGACTTCTAAAAATGTTTGATTCTGCTATGTAAAAAGAATATAATTTTATTTTTTAAATTCCCAAGAAAAATTGAACACTTCTCAACAGTTTTGAGTTGTGTGTGCAGGTTGTTTTAAAGGTTTGTAAGAGTGCTTGCTTCAGTAGCACATATACTAAAAGGTTTATAAGAGTTGTTGGCCTTTTAATTTTTTAATGGCTATTTTGACATACGGAATTTTTCTTAGTTGTCCAATTAATTAGGCGTTCTTGTTTTCTACCTTTTCTTTCACACATGGAATGTTTCCTATTCCTAAGTTCAGATAAGAATATGAAAAATTTGAAGATAGCTTTGAAGATAGGTGGTGGGGAGAGAAACTTGACAACAGTTGCTTAAGAAACAATCTACCTTCAGTTTGTGTTAAGAAAATTCATCAGGGTAATTTAGATTTTGGATTGTTGCTGCCTCTAAATATCAATTGCCTCGTACTATAGGGATGTTAAATGATTAGACACTTCCATGAAAGAACTTTATAATGTGTAAAGCTTTTTAGATATATGAGATGTTGTTAATACTATAGTAACTCATTGCTCTGGGTAATCTGGCTAAAGGAGCCTTTCCACTCAAAAGACATGATGCTTAAGCTTTCTTTTAATGAGTCATGGAATGTCACCAGGGACTTCGTCACTATTTGGCATAATTCCATTAGGAACTTCTACTGGGGATAGTTCAGTCCTTTTGGGGGAAAATGAACTTATTTAATTTTAGACTAAGAATGTTATTGACATTTTAAGCTACTTATAAGTAACAACATATTATAAAAATGTTTTTAAAAATCCCTTTTTAAAAAGCCTAAATGTCAATGGACCAGACATCATAATTTAAAAAGTTATATTGGGAAGAGAGAAATTGGTTTATGAATTGGCTACAAAAAATAGATCAATAATTTGTTTACATAATTTTGTAATCATATGTATGTTATTCTACTTAGTAATATAACATTTTCCATTTTGCTAGCCTGTTGTCTTCATTGTCTTTTTTTTTTTTTTTTTTAAGTGATGGCTGAGATAC